GAGTAAGAGATGGCTTGTAATTCGGCTCCCACCATCTTAACATGATATTGTTGGTCAACAAGGCATAGACCCCTTTTAAAAATAGAATCAAAATCTTCTTGGAAGGAGAAACTAAATAGAAAGCAACCTACTAGATCGATACACTAAATGCTCCCTTTTATATAGTTTCAATTGCTCTTTGATATTCTCAATGAGGTAGTGGTACCTAACCATGTTTTTGAAAACTATGACACTGTTAGTTCTCCTCCATGGAGATTTAATATTTTCTTTTTCTTCTTCAAAGAAATGACTTTGAAGCACCATTACTTGAAGCTAAGGCATTCTTTGTGGGAGAATTAATCTTCTTCATATGCACCATGATTACTCTTAGAAGCTTATCTTTATAATTCATGGTTGAAGATGGAGTGTTAACAATGGTAAGCATTAGGGGATCAAGATCTATGTTGTCAATAATGTGGTTAAATGGAAAAAAGTTAATGCATGGATGTGAAGAGGAAGAAGGAAGGGTCTTAAGGAGAAGGTGTTGAACTATGTTGTTCCCTTGTAAGTATGAAGAACAAAGATCTCATATTTAAAAAATATGAAAAGAAAGAGTGGCTTAAATATGTCAAGATCCATGAATTTTCTCTACTAGTCTTTTGGTTTTAAGATGGTGTCAAAACATGCGATGGGTCACCAAATGTCTCCCTGCTAAGCCAGATGTCTTCCCCAATAGAAGGGTAAGTAGATTGGGACAATTATTTTCTAACAATTATTAGGAGTGTTAAGGGTCAGGTGTTAGAGTATGTCCTATAAGCCAACTAGGTTGGCAAGACAATCTTGCGTCTTTGTGATTATGTTTATTATATTTATGATATTCTTCATCTAACATTAATTGCTATTCTTCTATGTACGTTAAATATTGATAAAGTCTTTTGCTACATTAAAAGGTAATAACAATCATCGCTATTAGTGAAAACTATATAATGCGATATCAACATTTTTAAATTGTTTAATAGTCATATATATCATTAAGATGATATATTGATGGTATAAAGACTATCATGTGTGATACCTTATTAAGTGGCAAGACTTCTTCTCACAAAGTCACCTATCACATGTGGATGACTCAAAGTAAAGAGTACACTAGAACCCACCATAAGAACTCTACATGTACATGTCATTAGTAACTTCTCAACTATGACACAAGTGTAAGTGATCCTTTGACTTAAAATTGTCATTATTTTATGCAAGGACTCATATACTTTGATGCTATTCAAAGCATTCACCTTAAGGGGTTGCAAGTAATATAGTTATTGGGTGCATCATGAATCGCATAAGAGTAATGGACAAGTCAAGATAGGAATTCATCCTTCTTGAGCCTATGGGAGAAGATATTTCTGACCTTTTGATTGAGATAAGACTACTTGCAAAGTCCATGGCTAGGCATAAACAAAGGTTCATTCAAGAAGTATGTCTATCTTGGGAATCAGAGAAAAATACATTAAGCCTTAAGGATAATGATACATAGCATGTATCTTACTTGCTAAAGATATTATGGATGAAGGGATTGTATTACATAAGTGTATTGTTCATAGGAAGGCTTATCAAAACCATCAATTCTTTTTCTCGCTTTGAGTGGCCATGACGTGTTGCTAAATATCGTTATTGGTTTGTGTGTGTTTCTTATTGCCATTGTGATGGAAACCTTGAGGGTTACATAGTGCATTATGAGGATTGGAATTTCTATAAATCTAAGTTTATAGATATGAACTAATGTATGTGAAAATAATATTTTCACAAGACAAATAAATTAACCAAGATCTAAAATAAATTGATAAAAAGAATTAATTTAATTTAAATTAATTCAAGTTTGGATTTGTTCTAAGTTAAGGGAAAAAAATCCAACGTGGCAAGTAAGTTTTTGGAGGACTATATGACCAAAACTCTAGCCCATTGGGTTTAGGGCTTTAGCAACATAATGGGCTTAGACTAGTTAAAAATCTCAATCCATATTGGATTGGAGTGTGTGGCAAGAAAGGGAAAAAATAAGGGAATAAAAGTCTTCTCCTTCTAGGTTTTCTATTTTGACTTGAAGATTAAGTTTGACAATTTTAATTGGATTAATTGCAAGTCTTCTATTCCTATTAATATCAATAGGTGTAGAGAACCTTAAATCCCTGATGATTGATTTTTCTATCATAGAATTTTAAACCATTAAAATCATTCAACCAAAAACTCAAAGCATAACAAACTAACTCTTTGATTGCTAGTACCTTCAGAAACTTAGTCTTCTTCATATCCCCAAGCGTACACATGGATCACCACTAAAAGAATTCTACACTCAGATTTTTGGGTGGCTTCATTGGAGGATGATGGTTAGATCTATGCATCAATGAGACGCGTGTCATTACGGTACTAATCATAAATGCTTCCTTAACGATTAATGGATTTATAAGGATCTTACGTCATTTGAAAGAGAACATAATTAAATTTTTTATTTTTCACTTTAGTTGCGCCCTCTTAAACCCAACATCAAAGAGGTTTGAGGGGGAGCATTGCTAAATCTTGAGTCAATCAAACGTGGCCCTAGTGCTTTGTACTTGGGTCTTGATATATTTGGGGTGTGGTTATGGCCGCCAATTCATTTTTTAATACCATTAATTTTGTATTCAATTTTACATATATATATATATATATGGTTATGATATATAAAATATCAGTTTATAAATTAATTTCAATTTTTTAAGTAATAAATATTGGTTTTTCTATTAGTTATTACTTGTTATTAATAATCAAATTAGACCAAATAGAATCAATCTTTTTTTAACACATTTTTAGTAGTTTTAACAAATAAATTAATAGTTATAACCACAACCATTTGCATATATTTTTAGTATGACGAGGTAGTTAGATTAGCTATACTTCTTTTTTCTTGATCATTTTAGTGCATCATGTTGGATAAGTGTTGTGAGGCAATTTATTTCTAAAATTGAAGTTGATTTAGCTCTTATTAATGAATTGATCATATTGTATTAAAAATAAAATAAGAACACATTATTAGAAAATTTAAATTTTGAGAAAATTAATAGGTAATTTTTCAAAATGTTTTTTAATAAATAAATAAGAATAAAGCCTTGTTTAATTAAACTATTTTCTCTTTAGTTATTTTAAAATATTTTAAACTGAACCTTATTATTAGAAAACAAGGAAGTAGTGGCCAAGTTTTATAAACCTTCAAAAATGTAATTTGAAAATCAAATGTAATGCCTCAATTCTACATTAAAAGAATAAAACTACAATGAGTTATATATGACTTTGTCTTTTATTGTTAGCTTTTCTATACAAATGATTGGTGTATAATTTATGTTTGCTTTTTAGTCATTTAGATGACAAATTTTAGAAAGCCAAGACTCAGTTTTTTAACTATAGTTTGAATAGTTTGAGTAAACAGAAATGGAGATATTTTCAAAAATAATCAGTGGATGAGAACAAAATATTCAAGATAATTCAAGGTCTTTTGTTCAATAAGAAAATAGGTTTCAAGGTGTATCATTTTCCTTTTGTGATTGATGCCAATTTTCAATTTCTAATGGCTACTTTTGTTTGTTTAAGAAATAACCTATATTAGATTGTTTAATATTAATTATGCACTTATGTAAGTATTTGAAGGTCAAAATAATAATTTTTTTTTATAAAAATAGAGGCAAATATGATAATTAAGATTTAAAAATATATTTATCTTATATTTTTTGATTCAAAATTACTATAATTTAATTTTAATAAATTAATATTAAAAACATGACTAATTATATAAATAATAAAAAAGGTTTAACTCATCGATCAACTCATGACCTGTTAAGATTGGATAAGAGCAACACTTGTCGACCTATAACCTATACATAACTCAATCCATAAAACCCGCGACCCAAGTAAATCCAACCTGAACCCAACCAAACTAGGGGCCACCTCTAAATATAATAGTAAAAAGAATTATCAAATTCACAATCACCAACAAATTATTGGACTAATGAACTTTTGGTTCTTTTTCAAGAGTAGTTTCAAGGAACCTTACATACTGAAAACTTTAATGAAGGAACAGAATGGCTGGAACAACTGCTTAACATAGAATAATAGGAATATACATACACTTCAATAATTTCCTTAAAAAATTTCAAAGTTTGTGGTTTAACTAATGCAAACTAATCCTTTTAGATTCAACAGAAATTGTTTCTTTGAATAATTAAGTTTTCTTCACATCCAAAAAGAAAAGAAGGGATTTTCTCAGCGCTGCCTAACATTTCTCACTAATTTCTTTCTGAATTATATAATATATTTAGCAAACCTAAGGGTTGGATTTACTAGTAAGTAAGCATCATCTTGTAATTGGTTTAGAAATCAAGTTCTATGGTCAATACCCAAAATAATAATAATAATAATAATTTTCTTAGATGCATGATGTAAATATGAAGAGTGTGCTATTAAAATTGTTCGCAGAGAGACTAGTGTCGAAATATGCAAAAATTATGTTGAAAACACTTTCATAGTAAATATTAAATATAATAGGGTTTTTCTGACCTCTATTTTAAGAATATAGGTTAAGAATGTAACGAATACACTTTTTTATTATAAATTTGTATTAAAAGTTAACTTTTAATTTATCAACTATTTAATTAAATTTATCCATTTAACAATAACACTAAAATTAATATCAATTTTTATATTTTTTATATACATTCATGATAAAACGTATCCTTAACATGTGTCTTTAGTGTACATATTAAAAAAACTTTATATAATATTTGGCTTTCTGTTTTTAATTTTTTTAATATTAAGTTGAATAATAAAAATAACTCCCTTTCATCCTTGGCAAACTCTTCCAGCATGTCCTGCATATTGAATTCAAGAACTTATAACTCCTTTCTTAATTATGTAATATATTTGGCATTTATTCATCATAAAAATGCCAACTTGCGCATAAAATATGGTTACTCATGACTTTGTCTATTTGTAAGCTCTCATTCTGGGAATCTCTAAACAGTATCTTCTCGGTGATGTTTCCATCGAATTAATTGAGATGGTTGTGAGAAGAAACAGGGAATTAAATCAAGGCTGATATCAACCCACAATAATTTTGCTCTGATGAGGGGTGAGAACCCCTTTTTTTTTCGGTCTCTCGATCTGCAAAGATTACATGCTTAATCCCCCATGGTAAATTCAAACATACGTTCTTTCAAGGTTTTGTCATGTATTACTAGATTAAATTTCATTTGATATTATTATGACATACTGTAGTTGTGATTTTTTTAATATTCAATCATCACAAAAACTTTGTTATTATTTTAATAATTATTTTGAAAATGATGTCATATATTAATAAGGTTATTAAATTATAAAAAAAATAATTAAAATTAATTAAATCATAATAAATTAATAATTATATTTATTATTAATTATTTTTTATATATTTTTAATAATTTTAATTAATATTTTATATATTTTTATGATAAAACAAAGGATAAAAAAATGTATAGCCACAATACAATCCAAACAATAAAGCTTCATTGGCAAGGGTCATAATACATATTTCTTAATCATTCGCTAACATATTAGTAAATTATAAATCTTAAGAAGTACGTATTCTTAACTTCTCAACTAAACTTCTTGTTATTCTTTGGTCAACCCTTATCTAAGCCTCTTAGTGTTGGTATTACATTATTTGTATGATTAGAGAAAGGAATAATCATTACTCTCACCCGAAAATAACAATATACAAGCCATCATTAAGGTGCAACATTTGCTTGATCATTTTGCATTAGCAAATCTTGAGAAGAAGAGCAATTGTTTTTATAGTTTGCCCCATAGTTAAGAGTTTTAAATTTGAATCACATAATATTTATGAAAGAGATAAAAAAATTACAAGAATTACCCTAAGTTACAAGTTATATAATTAACTAGTTAAAAAATTAATTGTTGATGAAAATATTAAAGTAACACAAAAACATCTCGGTGAATGCTATGTTATAATCAATTCTTCAGTAACTGTTAATCCATTTATAAATAAATGATTAATAAAAATGTTTCCTCCGACTTCAAGCCTAGTCTAGGCCCTAAATTTTAGATTCTTTTCTCACTATCTATTTGGAAATCAATATCACAAATGGTCACTTTCCTGTTGATGTTTCATTCACAATAAAATATGTTTCCATTTCATATAACTATAAGCCTAAACAGAATTCCACTTCATTTTCCAACCTTATAGGTTTTAAAATTAGAGCCAGACCAATGACTAAGCAGGGTTGGTCATGACCCGTTGGACAAACCTGCTAGTATTGTAGAATATTCATCTAAACCATGGCAATTGAGGGAAGAAATTTTCTCACTCAAGGGTGGAAGCTTTTAATTTCTGCTGTCACTGTCCCACCTTTAATCACAATTCACAATTAATTGTTTTATTTCCCTAATACAGCCTAGATTCTAGACCCACAACTTCTTCTGCAAGAAATATTTTAGTCTGGATTGGTAATCTACTCAGACCAGCCCCATTTTATTCATTTCTCATAATTTCTCTCTGCTTGTACAAGGAGCCCCAACCCTTTCATGTCTAGAACTGATTTTAGATAAGTTTGGGTTGATCTTCCCTTGAATCTATCTATCCTGTTTCTACATATTGTTTCCTATATTTTCTGGTTACCATCTCCGTTTCACTCCTATTTCATCTCTTGTCCTTCTCTGTCTTTCACGAGTTCTGTTTCTTGGCCTAGAGACACATCTTTAAAGCTTGTAAGCGGGAATATACGAAGTATTATTGGCTAAAACACTGAACATCAGATGATTTCACATACCGGACCCAAGGTAAGTACCTATGATTCGGTAAGATATCCTGTGGAGTTTCAGTTTTTAGAAAAATCATCAAGAATTCTAATTCATGTAATAAAAACAAATTAGGACGTGATGGAAGGGAAACCCCAAAATCCCCATCTTGCATCTATATCCAAATCAGCAACAGAAAATAGCAGGCCAAGCAGCATGATTGTAAAGGTAAAATTCTGAGTCAACCCCCTTTTTGCTTTTTGTCTTAGAAGTTTCAGCAAATTATCTGTATCTAATAAATTTGATTGTTTCACTAAATATGAAACACAAGCAGAAGGCACATACCGTTATACCTGCACACATAGTAGCTGAAGCCATATCAAAACTCCAAGGAGAAGGCCTTGATCTCAGATGGTCAGGTCCAATAACACCAACAGAAATGCAATATGTCGAACAGTATGTCTTAGCAAAATATCCTCAGTATGCTTCCCTTGTTGAAGGAGAAATGATCGATCTCTCCAGTCTTTGTATCAATGAAGAATCCTCCGAATTAGCAGATGAAAAGGGAAAGTCACCAAGGGGAAATTTTAGGGAGTCCAAACCCTCCTTTGGGAGCAATCTTCCTGACCTGGATATGACTCAATTGGAGCCATCAAGACTGCTAGATATCCTCACCAAGAAATCCTCCTTCCCTGGAAGTTTCATCTCAATTCCTGAAATTCAAGCTCGGAACAAAGTTCTAAAGCACTGTGGATTGTCTGATAATGAGTATCTTGTTCTGTTCACTCCAAATTACAAGGATGCAATGATGTTAGTAGGTGAGAGCTACCCCTTCTTCCGAGGGAACATCTATATGAGCATCCTTGGGGAAGAAATAGATTGCGTGCGGGAATTCGCCAGTTACAAGGAAGCAAAAGTAATCTTGGCACCCGAGTCTTGGTTGGATTTGAGGATCAAGGGATCACAACTTAGCCAATATTTTCGGAGGAAGTGTAAGCATAGCCCAAAAGGGTTATTCTCTTATCCAGTTGAAGTAAATGGGACACGTTATTCTACGCATTGGATTTCAGAAGCTCATAGGAATTCATGGCATGTTCTGCTTGACGCTACTGCTTTGGTTGCAGGGAAGGATCGGTTGAATCTTGCACTTCATCAGCCAGACTTTGTATTGTGTAGTCTAGAGAATACACATGCTCATCCTTCAAGTATAACTTGCCTTCTGGTGAGGAAGAAATCCTTTGATACTACAACAGCTTCATCTCAGGTTGAGTGAAAAAGGATTGACCCCTAGTGACATAGTATCTTTAAAGTGGACAGAGCAATATCTGTACCAGTCTTAATTCAGTAGTATCAAATAAATAAAATTAGTCGGGAATAATCAATCAAATGAACGCATAAAATCATCTATTTCCACTTTTCCAGAAAAGGAGCACAGGGTACAATCAATAGTTTCAAGTAGAGTCCTGTTTTTGACTCCTCTTGTGGTGGTGAGGAGTGCACCAGTAAAGAGATTAAATTATATTTCATATTGGCTTCCTTTTCATCTAGGAAGTTGAAAACACTAGTATTTCTCATTTACATCTAACTTTCTGCAGTGAGGGCCAAACTTGGGAAATCGATTTCTGGAGGAGCAAGGTGCAAATCTTTGTACAACTAAAACAAGATAATTCTATTGAAGCCATAAGGCTCTTTTGTATACTAGAGCACATATTTATCAAAAATAGTTCATTACTGTCCAAAATGACCTCCCTGAGCAATATACTTAATCATGTAAATTGATATACACATCCGCCAAGCAGCATAAATGATTCCTCCCTTCCTGCGTTTTCTCTAATCTACAAGAGCCTGGGGCTACAGTAGGACGGCTCACACATGGAACTTATAGCTGAAAATAGAGACACATGCCTCGGTAAAATAAACATAAGCAACGCCTTTAATGCATTCACGGCATTTTCAAGAACCATTACCATCAAATTCCCCACTCCCCCAAGAATTAAAAAGAAAAAAAAAAAAAGGGAAAAGGAAAAAGTTGAGAGAGCCTTCAAAGAAGATATGATTGCTTTTATAACTGAAACTAGGCATGATGCCAAGATTCTCTAATCCCATACTTTTATATTGTAATAATCACAGAGAAAGTGATAGCATAATTCTCATCTGACAGCCAAAAGCTCAGCAGAAGAAATAATTGGAAAAGATGTAACTACTAGTTACAACATACCTGATCACTTCACAAAACGAACCTTGCCTGTAAAATGCCATCAATCAAATTACATTCTTCTGTAATATCAGGATTCAACATGCATCGAGAAACACAAACTTTTGAGTTTCATATAAATGAGTCAAATTAATTCAATCCCCTTACAGCTCAAAACGTGCCAAAATAAGATGACAAACCAGGGTAGCTAACGTTAAGCAATGGATGTAAGAAACTAAAATAAAGGGGGAAGTTGATTTGACTAACAAAATATAAAATAATTGTAGTTGCATGCTAGTGGTGATAATCCTAGCTGACGTTCTATGCTAGTTAAGGAAACTTCATCTGTCTATGTTGCTGGCCCAAAGAGAAGAAACTTCATCGTAGTGAAGCTCACATGGCAAAGAAAAATCTACCCTATTCCAGAGGAAAGAACATTCCAGCATCATTGACAAAAAGTATTACAAGCACAAGCATTTTAGACACAGGAAAGAACCTTCCCATGGCAATGATGAAACTAATAAAAGCACAAGCTTTTAGCCAGGGGAAAGAACCTTATAGTAGTACCAGAATCTGCTACTCTATAAATGGATCCACAACAGATCAGAATTGAAGAAGAGCACAATTTTCATGTTAAGGAAGAAGGATTTAAGTAGGGAAGGGAACAAAACTAGTGCTTAAAAACACACTAATTAATGCAGCACAAACCTTTTCTCCATAAAACACCAGGTACCATTACAAAATTAACTTAGACTTGAAAAACTATAATAACTTCAAACTGCACCTCAAACTTCTAGTTAAGGAAAATACATTGCAAGACAATATACTTAGGGCTAATGAAAGTCAATATTTTGTTCTTCCATCACCCTCAATAATCACGTCTTTAAATGCCCCACCACTCGGGATCATAGGCAGCACATGCTCTTGATGGGGAACAATAACATCCAATAAGTAGGGCCCAGGTGTGTTCAGCATTTTCTGAACAGCTGCTTTGAGATTATCCTTCCTTGTCACCCGGGCAGCAGGTATTCCACATGCTTCTGCAAAAGTCAACATATTTGGGAATATTTCAGATTCCTTTGATGGGTCTCCAAGAAAAGTGTGAGCTCTATTTGCTTTGTAAAACCGATCTTCCCACTGAACAACCATTCCTAAATGTTGATTATTCAACAGCATTATTTTAATAGGAAGATTCTCCACACGGATAGTTGCCAACTCTTGGACATTCATGATAAAACTTCCATCACCATCAATGTCTACAACAAGAGCACCGGGATTTGCAACAGCAGCTCCAATGGCAGCAGGCAATCCAAAACCCATAGCCCCCAATCCCCCTGATGTCAGCCACTGACGAGGCCTCTTATACTTGTAGAATTGAGCCGCCCACATTTGATGCTGACCAACACCAGTACTTACAATTGCATTTCCACCAGTTAATTCATCTAGAACTTGAATTGCATACTGAGGAGGAATAGCTTCGCCAAAAGTCTTATAACTCAATGGATGTTTCACCTTCTCCTCATTTAGTTCTTGCCTCCAAGTTGAATAATCAAGTTTGACTTTATCTCCTTTGCTCTCCAATATCCCGTTCATACCTTTCAATGCCAACTTCATATCCGAGCAAACTGATACATGAGGCTGCTTATTCTTCCCAATCTCAGCTGGATCAATATCAATGTGAACAATCTTTGCTCGGCTAGCAAATGCCTCAAGTTTTCCTGTTACACGGTCATCAAATCGTACTCCAAAAGCAAGCAACAGATCACACTTATCCACAGCATAATTAGCATAAACAGTTCCATGCATCCCAAGCATTTGCAACGACAAATCATCTGCAGTAGGGAATGCCCCAAGACCCATCAAAGTACTAGCAACAGGTATCCCTGTAAGCTCCACAAACCTCCTCAACTCCTCACTAGAATTCAAACACCCGCCGCCAACATACAACACCGGCTTCTTGGACTCAGAAATCAACCTAACAATCTGCTCCAAATGTGCCTCCATTGGAGGCTTAGGCAACCTAGACATATATCCTGCCAATCTAATAGGCTGGTCCCATTTAGGGACAGCAAGTTGCTGTTGTATATCCTTTGGTACATCAATCAAGACAGGGCCAGGGCGCCCTGAGGTGGCTAAAAGGAAAGCCTCATTAACAATCCTAGGGATGTCATCCACATCAAGAACAAGATAATTGTGCTTGGTGATAGATCTCGTTACCTCAACAATTGGCGTCTCTTGGAAGGCATCCGTGCCGATCATTCTGCGAGGGACTTGGCCAGTGATCGCAACAAGAGGGACGCTGTCAAGGAGAGCATCAGCAAGGCCACTAACCAAATTGGTAGCACCAGGACCGGAGGTTGCGATGCAGACGCCAGGCATGCCAGAAGAACGTGCATAGCCCTCAGCAGCAAAGACACCGCCTTGCTCATGTCGAGGGAGAACGTTTCTGATTATATGAGACCGGGTGAGGGCCTGATGGATCTCCAGGGAGGCGCCGCCAGGGTAGGCAAAGACCGTGCTGACCCCCTGGCGCTCGAGAGCTTCCACAAGGATATCAGCTCCTTTTCGGGGCTCATCGGCAGCATAACGAGAGGTGAAATTTTGCGGCACCGTTTCAGTCGTTGTGGAAGTGGTGGTGGCGGTGATGGTGGTCGGTTTGGCTGCGGAATGAGGGAGTGAGTTAGAGATGTGAAGGGCGCGGCGGAGAGAGAGCCTCTGAAGGGTTAAGGAAAAGGGAAGAGAGGATTTGGAGCAGGTAAATGGGGATCTGGAGGAGGAAGGAAACGAAGAAGGATTGATGAATGTGGTCCTCGCACTGGTGGCGGCCGCCATTGTTGAGAGCTAAAGAGAGGAGGGCTGCGGAGGGTCGTGTGTGCAAATGATGACAATCGAGTCATTTTTAAATTGATTCGGGATATATTTACTTTGTTACCCTCGACAGTTCGTCTACGGTCTACTCCTTTAGGAATTGGAATCTGAGATCTGAATATCATCTGATAATAGATTCAGTGCGAAGTTAGGAACTTATGGTGCGTTTGTTGGTTGCATAAAACAAAGCTAGTTTTATAATTCTTGGTAAAATGGAAGAGGCGAGAGATAAATGATATAGAGATTCGGGGGCAAGTAGGGAACTTACGGTGCGTTTGAGTGGTTGCATAAAACAAAGCTAGTTTTAATATTTTTTTATAGAGGTGATTATATTTGATTTCTCTTATCTAAACTATTTCAATTTAATAAAAAACAAAATTAAATTAATATAAAATTAAATTGATTTGAATTACATAATTTTAAAATTAATATAATTAATTTTATTTATAATTTTACTTTCAAATTATTCGAATCACTAATTATAAAATAAAATTTGATTATAAAATAATTTAATTAAATAATATAATATATTTTTTATAATATTTTAAATTTTTTTTCTTGTTTTATAAAATTATAACTCTATTAACTTAATTTAAAAAAAAATAAAATATCCTCATATTCCCTAATTTATTTTTCCTTCATAATCATATATTCTGATTTTAATTCTAAATTTTTCATTTACTTACAATTCTTTTCCTCAAAATTGGTTTGTGACTATACTCTTAAAACCTTAAATTTCTAGTTGATCTTAAAATGATCTCCTGATTCTCTTACCTATGCTTTAAAAAAGTATTATTCTAAAAGGTTTACAACTACATAATACAACTAATCTTAATATTCTATTATTCTTAAATGTTTAGTTGAAGATGTTTAAATTCTAATTATAAATTTTTTTAATCAATTCTAATGATATTCATGTTAAATTTTATTCACTTAAAACAAAATTTGAAAGATAAGATTGAATCATTGATGCATTAAGAAAAATAAAACTAATTTAATCTTTTAAGTATTACTTACATTATACTTAAAATTTAAAGTTATCTTTTATTGGTCTTAGTATCTTTGATGATATAACCAAAAAAATTTTTTAAATCTTTTCAATTTTTATGATCATGAAAAAGTAGAAAAAATTATTTATAATTTATATATTTTATTATGTTTTTATTTATTTGGATGTTAATGTATTTTATAATTATATTTTCTACTTAATATTAAAATTTTTCATATTATCTCATCTATTTAATAATATTCAAAATCACTCAATCTGACCAAACCAGATTTTAAATTAATTTAGTTATCATATAATAGTGAATTGAATTAGTTTAAAAAATTTATTAACCAATTTAAATTAAATTAATTTAAAAAATATTAAAATCTAAACCAAATTAGACCGTGAACATCCCTAATTTTCAATCAAAATAAAAAAAGAGAGAGATAATCGTGAGCAGTAGTATTTAGAAAATAAAAATGATTTTTAAAAAAAATGTATTTTCTTAAAAAAAAATTAAAATATTACTAAATTTGCTTAAACGGCTCATCGAGGTTATAGAGTACTCATGTCTTGTATAGATATAACCATAACGTAACAAAGGAGAAAAATACTTTCATACAAAACATACCATCTTATTCTCAATGAGCGTCATTTTAATCATCAAAAATAAAAATAAAATAAAATAAATAAACCAACAAGAAGTCGATTTTCAAACCGACCAAACCAAAATTCCAAAACCTGACTACTTCCACCGAGCCAACAGTTGAGGGAATTTATTGGGAAACCATTCTATTGATCTTCTTTCTTCTATATTTTAATTTTTACTTATGTAAACACCAAAATGCAGAAACACAGGAACAGTATCAAAGTGAAAATCAACCATCATTACCTACGAAGTACTGCGTATAACAAAAGAAACATAAAGAACTAAAGTTTCATGTTTTACTGATTTCAGAGTTTCACGTGTAACAAATAAAAAGAACAATAACGTAAGAACAAATCCCAAGCATGCCTGTAGCTAGCCTCGCCATATCTTTAGTAATGTCAACCTGCAGTTATGCAAGAAAAAAATATCATCGGTCTCTTTCAATTTAAAGGAAATTCAAAGAAAACTAAAAAGAGCCCAATAACTGATGGGAATGCATGCCTATGTTGAAGTTGAACAATAAACAGAATAAAAAATACAAAAGGATATCATGGTGATAATGACTCATCAAAACACAAGAAATTAATGGCAATGCTAATGACTCATCAAAAGATAAATTAAACCTTATCATGTATATTTAGCAAACACTAACAATGATCAATATTTTTAAGATATAGCCCATAAAACCAAATTCTACATGGTATTTAAAAACACCATAGCAGCAAACCAACCCATAGGCAGCAAACTTCTCAACAAAACTTCATCTTATTCTATGAAATCAAACAAGATACTTATTTGCACTTGTACCCAAGCCCAAAGTACCATAACTGAAACTAAGAATTACATAGATGCATAGAAAGTTGAATTGAAAATATACATGGATTGCATTATTTCTATTGAATTGTAAAAGAAAATAAATAAATAAATCTCCATTACACCATTTGAATGAAGTATACTCTAAATTTGTTGGCACTAAAACAAAATTACATTAGGCATGCAAAACTCTATATTTATCCATAGAAAGGCAAAAATATCAAATTGGAAAATAATACCCTTCCATGTGTCTATGAACTTGATTACTTGTACAAATTTTCTAATGCCTTTTGCATCCACACTAATGCCACCTAATTACTAATGATGAATAGAAAAAGCCTCAAGCAAATAACGATGTTTGTTTACAAAGCAGAGTTAGTAACTAAGGTCATTAATTTTACTTACATAATAGGGCTTTAAACAAGTAGAGCTGAGCTGAGCCAAGTACTTGAGGTCAACTCATACCAATCAAGCTTAACAACAAGCTTAAGCTTTATTGAGCTTGGAAGAATCAATCTCAAGCTCAGCATGTTGAAAGGAACAAGCTGAAGTAGCTCATGACCTAATTGAAAGCTACATATATAGCATTTATTTAATTTTTTAAGATTAAAAACCTACTCATGAGCTTATAGATCTCAAGATCGAGCTCGTGGCTCATTAATAGCCTTACACAGAAAACAAGAAACACTAAACATATGTGCACAAGTCCACAAAGGATTAAGTTAAGCTCCATTTTATATCTCTTTAAACTCCAGTGCATGTAGATTAACAATACCAATAGCGCTACATAAGAACACAGAGACAGATATCAGTTTCTACTAAATCATTCGGAACAAAATATTTGAAATCAAACAAACAACAATCTTTTAAATGAGAGTTGAACGGAAATTGCAAATCAGATATAGCAATTGACATATCATCTAATAGCCAATTAGGACTTAACATGAGCTAGTTAACACATTATTACAATTAAAGAAGTTCTCCACAATGCAGATGCCAATATAATAAAGGAATCACAACCAAATAATGATAAGCATCGAATCGGAAATTTACCTAGCTCGACCCGACGATAATATTGTTGATCGGAATGAAGATCAGCTTCACGAAGAAGCCGACAAATCCCATCACAACGAAACCGATAGCTGTACGAAACGCCACCTTCGTAAACTCTGAAAGACACAATCAATCATTTTCAGCATCCAAAATACTAAGTATAAAAGAAAGAGAAACAAACCAAGCCATCGAAACGATAAATCGAACAGATCTGAACAAGCATGGAGGGGGATACCTTTGCGATCAGGCTTGTGGCAGCGCTTGACAAGGCGTACGCTGTCCTTGGCAAAGTCTCTGAGAGGATCGATGACGGAGTCCAGGGCGTCCATTCCTGTCAACGGTAATCGAGATTCGTAGTCTGCGGCTCAAAATGGCGAACGCAGCCAGATATCTTTTCAAAGGAATAACAAAGGTGAAGAATAGGAACGGAGATTTGTCGGCTGTTCCCGTAACTTCTATCTCGATTCCAATAGCAATCATTTTCAACGGTGGGTAAGCCCAATTTTCATTTTTCGGCCCACAATTCTCTTTTGCTTGGCCCTTTGATTTTTTTTTTTTTTTTTAATACCAGCGCTTAGCCCTTGTTTGTTACCCTACTCCTTAGGTTTAGGAGAGACTTTGTAATTATAGGTTAACCTTTTCTACGGAAAAATAATATATTAAAAAATTCAAAAATATTATATTAGAAGTTAATGGATTCTGTAATGAAATTTTATTAAAATTTTTAAAAAATTTTATTATATTTAAAAATAATTTAATAATATAATATTTAAAAACATGTGATAAGTAAAAATCTACAAATTCATTTATAAATATTTCTTTTCAAAGGTCAACTTAGAGAGTGCGCAACAACTTCTCACTTAACCACACTAAGAGGTAATTAAGGTATCACCTATACTTAGGTTTAACTTTATCATATCACACATCTTTATCGCCTCTACACATCCCACTCACCATCCTCTTCCAAAATCTTCTTCTGCCTCTCTCATCTCCTTTGCCACACTTACGTAGAATTGTAGAGTGCACAATCTCCAGCTTTCCTTGAGTATCACACTAATGTGGCAAAAACCCACGCTTTGGCACTTATATCATTTACTTTGAGGGTGTATTTAGTTAGAGTGTCACTTTACTAAAAAAATCTTCATTAAAATCTCATTTTGGTACCTTTACTTTAATAAAAAACTCTTTTTTAAACCTTCAACTTAAGAAAACTCATTTTTAGTCCTTAAAGTTTATTATTCAACCCCATTCTAGTCCCTTTGTTATTTTTTGCACATGTAACATGTTAGATGATGGAAATTCTAAAGTAGAAGGGCTAAAAAGATACTAAAAAAAAGCCCCCCTTTGGTCCCTTTACTTAAAAAAAAATATCATTTTTTTGGAATTTCTATTATCTAATGTGATATTTATGCAAAAGAATAATAGAGGGACTAAAAATGGGTCAGATAATAAATTTTAAGCACTAAAATGGGGTTTTCTTTAATAAAGGAATTAAAAAGAGACTTTTTGTTAAAGTAGAGGAATCAAAATGGGGTTTTAACCAGAAGTTTTTATTAGGGAAAGTAGTTAGAAAAGTATTATATAGAAAGTTATCAAGTTTAGTAATGAAATTTTGTTAAAATTTTGTTGAATTATTAACTTTGTTGTGTTTGGTAAGAAATTGATTTGGAGAAAGTTAATAGGGAAAGTTATTAATTGCGTCCAATATATGGATAGTTATAGGAAAACTTTTTCCTTTCCAAATAGGAGGGAAGAAAATCGTATGAGTTGAAAATTGTAACGAGAAAAATAAAGGTTAAAATGTCACTTTTACCCTCTTTTGTTGTAGTATTAATGTATGAAAATATGTAAATAATCTTATAAGGAGAAATTTAGAGAAGTTTAAGGGAAATGTTTCTCCCCAACCAAACACCCCTGAGGATTTTTGCTCACTCACCTTTTAAAGTGAGAATATTTTCCCGCGTACTTTTCAATTTGAGTAAATGATGTAAACTTTACCATCCTATGGTCACATTCAATACATGGGCATTAGTCATTTGTTACCCATGCCATATCAATGCCATTAGGGCACTAATTTTACAAATTAGCATTGCTAGCTTGGCAAACAAAAACTCCTATTTTGCTTGTCACTTTATCGACCTTAAGGGTTTTTTACCCCTCAGCTTATAATGCTGGAATTTTTGCCCTCCAACTTATTGATTTGAGCAAATGAGACAAAATTTATTGTCCAACGATCATGTGTAGCATATGGTGTTGGAGCTTTAACAACATACTACAACCACATGGGATCAGTTTTACATGTTGATGGTGTCAACTTGGATCCACTCATCCATTTTCAATGTGAGTTCACTGCATTCTCTTTTTTCAAAAAATAAAAAAATAAAAAATTTGAAACTACCATTCATTTTCCACTGTGAACTTTTTCTCTAAATTAAAAAAATAGATGGAGCATGGAAACTCGAGAACGGAGGTCAAGAGTGGGGATGATTGGAGTAGGGGAGAAAAAAGAAATTAATTTATTTAATTGAAATTAGTTAATATAAACATAATTTATTCTTTTACGATAAAGTTAATTAAATTTTAATAATATTTTAAAATAAAATAATTTATTTAAATATAAGGAGTCCCATTGTATCTTATTGTTTTTTCTTCTTAAAAAAATTTGAGTGCAATGGGCCATGGTAAAAATGGATGAGCCTCCAAATTGGCATTGCTAGCGTATAAAAACAATCACATTTGCTGTTGGCATGTTATGTGACAAGGCTCTAACATCTATGTGTTGCAAGTGATCATTGGATGTTAAATTTTGCCTTCCTTGCTCAAATCGGTAAGTTGTAGGGTAAAAATCCATACATTGTAAGTTAAGGGGCAAAAACCCACAAGATTGATAAATGGAAGTGCCAAACATAGGTTTTTGTTTGCCAAGCTAGCAGTGCTAATGTGTAAAATAGGTGCCTAAGAGGCACTAACATAGCATGGGTAACGGAGGACCACTGCCCAGGTGTTGTACGTAACCATGAGACATTAAATTTTACTTTATTTACTCAAATTGAAAAATGGGAGGGCAAATATTTTTACTTTGTAAAGTGAGGGGAAAAAACCTTTAAAATCAATAAGGTGAGGGGCAAAGTATGAGTTTTCACCCACTGATGTTGACCGCTGGAGTACAAAGCCAAAAGCCAACTTCGACCTCTTCTTGGACAAAGCTCTAATGCCTTCCTATTTTGCAAGCGCACGTTGGAAACGTAATGATTATCTACAAGCAGATGTCGAAAAGTGTCCACTGATTTCTCCTTGGAAACCTGCTTGTCACCATCTGGTGGTGATAATATGCTTATTAACTTTTTCATGTATGATGAGTTGAGATTGAGAAAGTTGAAGGAAAATATGTCAAGTCCTACAAGAAAAAAATTGAGGGAGAAATTTTTCATTAAAAAATGTGAGAGGAAAAGATTACTTATCTATAATTATGTAACTAAAAATGTGTCAGGTTAGCTTTATCGGATTACACATTCTTTGCTCTTTCCAAACACATCACTTTTTGGTGATAATAATGTACTAGCACAAGAATTAAGAATTACCAGTGGCACTTTCTTCTTTGCTTCGGAGACTTCCGGCGAGAGATAAAAGGGGCAAACTAGAACTAGACGAATTCAATGACCAACAGTACCACAAGTTTGAATGTCAATAGTATAGTCTTACTATAGGCAGCACCAAATTTAAGCTCTATACCCATCTTCCCCACTAATACTACCATATCCACTGTTTACTTTAACCGTGCAGTAACGGCTAATTCAATTACCAGTAACATGCATGGACTGTTCATATAATGGATGATTCAGTCATCATCTTAAATAAACTTGCCCTGTCCAAGTAATCATGTAATGGATGATTCAGTCATCTTGATGATCATGTATTTCCACAGAAATAACAATCTGTAGGGAGGAGGGTCAACCTAAGCGAGGAACAGGGAAACAGAACAATCTGTCTTCTATATGATAATCATGCAGCTGGACAAATTTAAAGATACGAATTCACATGGAATCAAATCAACAACAAAGGGGGATTCAGAACTGCACATTATATAGATAATTAGGCATGTCATGGCAGCAGTTGTTGCACTGCACAAGTAGTTCAGGTCTTTAAGAGTTTCTGATGAAGTCATTACAGTTAAAATGAAGTTTCCATTAACAAATGCAGACAAGTGCATTCATAAGTCATAAGCAACCAAAACTCCAAGCAGCGTCAGTCAAGCTCCACTTGTTCACAGCTCCGCTGAGCACTGTGGCATTGGACAAATCAATTGCTTAGCTGCAAAAGACCAACAAAATTCAGTCAAATAATGGCCACGTTATGCAACGCCAATGATGCAAAATCTTCATCTTTACTTCAGTGAACAAAATGACAAAAGTCAAATAGCAAATACAATATGAAGACAACTGAAAAATTTTGGAGATACAGATATTTCGAAAACTAGATTTGGCAATTAATAGATATCCAAAAACATGACTTCAACACAACAATGTGATCACCACTGGACCATCAAAAGCTAATATTATAATGACATTAACATCATAAAAGGGAAAACAATAAAATTATGATTATTAACAGGTAGTAACTTTTCTAAACATGTACGATTATTAACCTCTCATTTTTTCTAAATAAAAGAAGAATATTAATCAGAGACATCCAGCGCCAGAGAAGGCAAAGGGATCCCAACCTTTTATGCGGATATGAAGAAACCAACAGGTGTTTCAGAATTCATCTTAGCCAAGGAGTTTTAAGGTTGAAAAAGAACTTTTTCAAGTTCGAAATTTGGCCTTTGCTGTCATTTTTAGTTTTGGGAAAGCATTCCATCCACAACCCTTTTTAGAATAAAAATTTGGAACATATGCTTTTTAAGACAAACATGGCAAAGTAACATTTTCTGACATCAACCATGCAGGTGAGTTAATAATGCAAGAGTGTTACAAAACAACCACACTAACAACATGAACTGCTAAACTTTTTGGTTTATAACAAAGCAATAAGATCTAAAACTTATTCAAGCATCAAAACTAGATCACATAATAAAAGGAAGAGTGGTTGTAATCTTCATCACTTCTGTATCCGCACAGCATCCAAAGCTCCTTGTTTTGAGGTAGAATTCACTTTCTAAAACACCAAAGAACCAAGTAAACATTAAGTTTCTCTTTCATATAAAACCTAAAAAAGTTGTCTGGTAGCAACCCTATTCTCTAGCCTTTTACCACAGGACGAGCCTCTTCAATCAAGCAATTTATCTCGTGTCTCTATTGAATATCTAACCTCTAATTTAAAGTTCAACTTATTATCCTCTCTCTCATATGACTAAAACAAGTGATTGAACCAAAAGTAATCATATCTTGATACCATATGAACTATTCTCACAAAGAGGATGCCTGTCCGAG